TTGGTTGTATTTTCGAATGCTGCCAATTCATTTGTTGGGCATACAATTTCACCATTAGATTGAGTTGGATGCAAATTCGGTATGGCAACCATTCGAGTTAATATCAATGGAAAGGTGTGTTGAATGCAAAATTTTGTGATATTTTCAATAAATATTAAAGCACATAAAACATATCTCTGTTGAACTGCGAACCGAAAAAAAAAATGTATAGAAAAAACTTGATCAAAAAACCATCGATTTCATTATATTAAGCTCACCCATTTCGCTGGTTTCAAGTGAGCGACAAAAATTCGAACTTTCTTTTAAATAAATAAAATATTTAATACAAAAGTGCTTTGTTATAAGTGGCGCGACTAACTGGCAACTGATATTGATGACTTGTTACTTGTCGAAACAATTATCTTACAATAAAAAAAATATACAAGTTATATAATGGGGAACTTTATTATTCAATATGAAGTGCATATATGATCTTTATCTAGGGGAAAATGACTACTTATAAGTTCGACGAAAGCTATAGAATTGTACGAAAAACTTACACAAACTTATGAAATCGCACGCTTGGCATAAGAAAATTTATAAGAACTTACGCTTTGTCCATATACATCAACCACATTAACACACTGCTGTTAGTTCAATATGCGTCAACATGCCGAAACAGTCGCACATATAGTAGTCAAATGACACAGCGCTGGTCAATTTTTTTAAATTACATCTCACGCTGCAAATAATTTGTACAAAAGAGTAGAACGCATTTTAAAAATTACCTAGTAAATTGGATATATGGACCTGATTTTGATATTGAAGCATCGCTCTCAACACTCATAGACTCATAAGCAATAATTCTTTATGGATCTTTGAGATACATTACTGATTATTCACTAACAAAACCGACTCTTTCAAAGATGACGTCTAATTAGACGAATTTATATTTCTTGATATTTTTTCACCGAAAACTGTCTCGTCTTATTTATACAAATTATTTTCTATCTGATTCGACATGACTAACATTTATCACCATTCCCAACATTCTGCGATTTTCAAATGACGTTGAAAAACTTACTAGTAATCAAAGGAACTTACGTAAAACTTAGACGAACTTACAAAAATGTATGTAGAACTCAAAAGTTCTTACGCGAACTTGTGAAACTTACAGATACTTATGAGCTTACAACGAGTCATTTTCCCCTAGATCTTTATCATTTCATTCATTCATTGATGGAGGTAATATCTGAACACGTGTAATTGAACACTTGAATAACCGAAAATAGCCGAAATGATCGTTAATTGTATTTTCACTTTTATTATAAAAAATGAACCTATACAAATAATATTTTAAGAACAAATAGACTTTTTCCATAGTGGGTGGTTACTCGCCTGCTGAGAATATCGTCTTATTTTTCAGCACTTGTAAAAACTGTTGGATTAAAGTTTGTCTCCGCATTTAAAAGCGGCATTCGAGCTTTGCACAACTTACACGACATATCACATATTTCGGAACATCCCGAATGCACTTTTATTGTTTTCGAATCAACTTTTGAGCCTTCACCTTGAACATTGTTCCATGGTTGAATCTCACCTGAACCCCAAACAATGAAAATTGTCATTCCCAATATTTTTGCTGAAAATGTTATCCAGAACACAGTTCGCCATTCCGATAGATAAGCCTATAATAAAGCAGGTACTATTTTTACTATTGGTTCAATGGGAATATACGATTTTCTTACATGTGGAGTCAAAAGAGCAACAGCATAGGTTGAAAATATTGATGTTGTTTTTGAAATTGTTTCCACGAAACCAGCTAATGGTCCAATATAATTAGGTGCCAAATCCAATAAGTTATTACCTATTCCAGCTGAACTAAATCCAGCGAAACCCGTCGAAAGCACAAAAAACGTCAACACAATTAGCTCCCCACAACCAGCGTATGATGCACACATCAGAAAACATACGGGAAATGCTGAGGCTAGAGATTAAAATCTTTTTATTATTCCATACCATAGATCATGTCCAACATTTTGAAAATAGCGCACCCCATCAGATCGCATCAATTGATGAATCAGTACACTTCGATCTAGTAGGGTGCAGCAAGTGGTTAAAATTGTTGTAATAATAATACTAAATTCCCGTGTGCAAAAGAAGTGACTGACTCACTCGCTACCTGAAATCAACTGAAAATGAATTTTGTAAATTGTAACAGTTTAGCCAGTCTATTTATCTGATACGCACTGAAAACGACCGACCAAATCAAATCAACTTTAATTTAAATTCTTTGAATAAGTTCAATCTCAGTTGGCTTAAGTTAATAACATCCCAAATTAGCTAACTGAATAGTCAGTCAATAATTTTGCATACAGGTTATATATGTGCTTTTAAACAGCCAACCAAAATTACATACACAATACGACGAATATTTTCCGAATTTTGGTGATACTAATGCCTTTTTTCTCAAGCATCCAATCTGACAAAAAACCGGCAAAAAGCGCAATGATAAGTTTCGCCACTTTGGGAACGGACGACGTGATGGCGTTTTTTGTTATGGAAATGTGCAGCACGTCATTCATATATTTTGGTAAATTGGCATTGTTTATATTGAACATCCAAGCGCAAACTGATGCGTGGATTATATGTGCAATCATTGGTTTACTGGTAAATATTTTGATCCATGGTGTAGACAATTTATCTTTCCGATCTTTCTCCAAATAATTTATTTTTTCTTCAAGAAAGTTCTTCTCCTCGTTGCCGATGAACGGGTGATCTCGTGGATTGTCGTAACATAATAAAGCCTATGAAGAAAAAAAATAATTTACCGCAAGTTTATTCGAAATATTCCGCATTCTACGAATTCAATCAACTTACAAACAAAGTCCAATTTATTGTCGCGAATATTGCAAATGAATAGAACACATAATCCCATCGACCGGTGTAATATATTAAAAATCCGGCAAAATTTAATGAAATAATGCCCCCAAACTGTAAAATAC